GCTATTTTTATTTTTATTCTTCGTGACAGGGGTTCGCTTTGGCCTGGGAAGTCAAGTTCAGCATTCGCTTCAATGGTATCTGGCGCCATCTAGCGTCGTGAATGGGTATAATGTCTAGACCCCGAATATAAGACGACCCCCACTTTTTCAGTCTTATTTCAATGCAAAAAACACTGTCTTATATTCGGGCAAATACGGTACTTTAGGGTTTATAAATTCAAGGTGTAAAAGAATGCAATCTACAATTGTCACGATGAGAGAGAGAGACAGAGAGATGTTCAATTTTTATGTTACAATGTCAATGTTTATGTTAAAATTGGTTAAAATAAAACATACAAAATGTTTGTAGTTTGTTGTTACCTGCTCTCTTATTACACGTGTATACAGTTTATGGTGTAAAACAGTTGAAAAAATGCTTTTTAAGAAGTTGTTTTCTAGACTTGAAACGGATAAAAAATTTTTACATTGATTCTAATGGGAAACATGGTTTCGGTTTTCGAACAATTCGGTTTTCGAACAGCCTTCTGGAACGGATTATAGTCGAAAACTGAGATTTGACTGTACCTTATGTGAAATTTTATTACACATGCATGTTAAATATTGTGAAAAAAACATTTTTATTTGACCCACACCATTAAATACATTAGCATAAAATATCAAGAGATCATTCTCATAATACTCCAATTGAAACGAGGTAACGACTGTTTCTTTGAAACAGGCGAAATAACATGTCTCAAGATGTATATATATATATATGGGTTAGTTATAGACTGTGGTGCTTTCCAACTTGTGTCCACATTTGGCATTTGGTTACACCTTCTTTGTGAGAAGTCCATCATAAGCCAAGGACCACCTCTCTTTATTTTAACAGATTTTAATAACATAATTAAATGCTCGGATAAGGAAAACCTGCCATGTTCAGAGAATCCAGTGAGCCCTGCCGTGTCCAGTAAATACCCACAAGTACTATAATTTTTGTCAAAAAGAAGCTCCTCGACTCATTTCAGCTGTGCCTTGGTACCAAAATCCCACCAGATGGAGCCAAAGAAATACTGTTTTATCGTGTGACATGTTCTGGTAATGTTGCCGAGTGCAACAAAGTCAACCTCTTGCGTTTTGCTGTCCCGCCTCCGTCATCCATTCTAAACAATAATAACCAAAGCAAGCAGGAATTCTGTCAAAATCATATTTTTCAAACCTTTTTCAAGACATCATGAAAGAATCATCACGTTTGTATGCAAGGCTCTCCAAAGTGAAAACAAGACACATCGATCTTAAGTTAGTTTTTATTTTCTATAAATATTGATATAAATGTCAGTAAAAACAACCTTCGTATTGATGCCTTCATACATAGTACAAATCACATCAGACATTATTGTTGAATCTCACATTTAAATGAATGAAAATTTGACAATGAAGCAAACCGAATGTCAAGCCCACCAGAGGGCGTTGAAGCAGCGTTTTAGGAACTTGTCTTTTCAGAATCAGAAATAAATAAGTGAAATAAATAGGCCACAGCTTGTTTTATGGGCGTCTTCTTAGCATAGTGTCTTCATTTCTTTTATCTGGACTTGAACCTTCTGTCTGCTCAGTTGTCACTCAGTCTGCTGATAGCCTAAAGGGAGACAGAAAGTTTTTCATTGCACTGCATTTTTACGAATGTGTGTGTGTGTGTGTGTGTGTGTGTGTGTGTGTGTGTGTGTATATA